TGGCTCCAGGTTGTTTGGGGCTGGCCAGTGATTGGAAAGAGAGGAGTTACTAGAAAGTTTGTTCTTGGAAGAAATCCCAGTCTAGCCTATGTCCCCAAAGGGTCACGGGTTGGATAAAGCTTTAATAAAAGGCTGTGTGAAAATAAAATACAGGTAAATGCCAAATGCAGGGCAAACCCTTTATCTTGTGCATAGTTGTCTAAATGTTCCTTTGCTGGGGATGTGTGGCTATTTTCAGGGAAGCATTTGGATTCAGGGAAGTAGTTCTGGAATCGATGTTATGCAAATGTTCTAGTGGGAGGAAGAAGAGGATGGGTTGGTGTGGGTTGGTGAATAGATGTGTGCATATGGCTGATTCACACACCATCTCATGGATGTCTAGGTTAGTTCTGTCCTGGAGAGTTTACTATGATGATGGAAATGTTCATGCTCTGAAGTACTTGAAATATGGCTATTGTGACCAAAGAACTAAAATTTTAATTTTAATTTAATTAATTAATTTTTTTTTTTGTACTGGGGATTGAACTGAGGGGAACTTTTACCGCTGAGCTACACCCCTAGCCCTTTTTACTTTTTTATTTTGAGACAGGATCTTGCTAAGTTGCTGAGGCTAGCCCTGAACTAGCCCTGAGTTGCTGGGATTACAGGTGTGCACCACCGTGTCTGGCTAATTTTGTTTTTAATTAGTGTACATTTAAATAGCCACACGTGGCTAATGGCCACCTTATTGGACAGCACAGCTCTGAGTTACTTTTCGCTGTGTGATTCCTGTGCAGTTCTTCATGACCCCAGGATTCTGGAGTTTGATTTGGTTCTGGGGAGACTTAAGAATTCATATCTGCTTTGAGTTAGACCAGAGGATAAGTAGGTTTATTTGTTTGTTTATTTGCAGTACTGGAGATTGAATCCAGGAACTCTTGACCACTGAGCTATGTCCCCAATCCATTTTATTCATTTATTTTTTCGAGACAAGGTCTCACTAAGCTGCTGAGGCTGGCCTTGAACTGGCAATCCTCCTGCTTCAGCCTCCTGAGTTGCTGGGATTACAGGTGTGCACCACTACACCTGGGTCCCTGACAGTTTATAAAAATTTCTAGGGCAGGGTGTTTTCCTGTAGTGCCCTGGGTCATGGAGAGGGGGTCCTGGGACTCCTATTCGGTTCTTCCTCATCCTCTGGGGAACCTTCAGACCTGATTTCTTCTGGGAAAATCCCAATGGAGCTGTGAGGCTGGACACCCCTATATTGTGGCCCACTCCTCCCTCCAGGCCTGAAGGCCATGGAGCAGGGCCCAGAGCCACCTCAGGGATCCGTGTGGTCGTTAGGCACCGTGAAATCCCTCGGTGAGCTTTCCCACGGCTGGATGGAGGTGGCCTACTGATCATTTCCAGCTGTCGATCATTTCCAGCCAGGACGGCCTCCTCCCCACACGGGGCTTGAGAAGCTGTCAGGAACGTGCCAGGGGGACCCTGGAAACCGACCGCAGGCTGGGCGTGGCGCCCAGGTGGGCGTGGCGATCGTGCAGGGTGGGAGGAGGGCGGGGACTCCAGGGAACGTTCCTGAGCCTTGAACTGGCTGCAAAATCACTGCCTTTGAAGAAAGTGATGAGGTGGGTTGGGAGAGCAGGGTTTCTTGTCCTGCAGCGCGTGCAGTTAGGGGGCGGGTCCCCAGGGCAGGGTGTGGTGTGGTGGGGAGGTGGCCCCGCGCCCCTCTTCCACAGTTTCGTTCCCTGCCTGGCTCCACCTTAGCCAAAAAGGTTTCTTATGGACTGTCACCTCCAGATGCACAAGCCCCGAGAGCCACCACGTGTTCACATTCCGTCTTTAATGCTCAGAGGAAAAATGGTTTTCTGAGATTACACATTTTTCCAGCATTATGCTTGGCTTGAGTATGCAAGACTGTGAAATGGAATTGTCTTTTCTTTTTTTAAATTTAATTTTATTTTTTTTCAAGAATTCTCTGTATAGGGGCTGGACGTGGTGCCGCTGTTCGCCTGTAATCCCAGCCACCTGGGAGGCTGAGGCAGGAGATTTGAAAGTTCGAGGCCAGCCCCAGCAATTTAGCAGACCCTCTCTCAAAATTAAAAATAAATAAATAAATAAGGAAAGAAAGAAAGAACAGGCTTGGGCTGTGGCTCGGTGTTAGATTCTTCGCTGAGTTCAATTTCCAGCATCAACAACAACAACAACAAAAACCTTTGTGTAGGTGGGGTGGGAGGGGACCAGGGCCAGGGCTGGTGTGTACCTGGACCAGTTAGATGCTCAGGCATGAGTCTGCTGAGTGAGGAGGTTGACTATCTTCTCACCAGGTTGCTGGGCCTTTGGGAACATCTCCAGGTGGGACTGCTGCCGCACACTTAAGGCAATTGCCAGAGGGAACAGGTGCTTCTGCCTGTTGAGGGCAGGCAGGGTACACAGGGAGGGACAGGGGCTTGAATTCCAGCCCTGCCACTTTCGGAATGAACTCAGACAAGTCATGTAACCCCTGTGAGCCTCTGATTTTTCACCAGTGAAAAGGAGACAATATAAGTAATAGAGCCATGATGGGGGGGGGGGTGGAAGGGAAAGGAGAGAATGAAAAGCCTGAAAGTGGGGGGCCTTTGCCCTCCTTCTAACCCAACCCCACCTCCCATGAGCACCCCTTGCATTTCCCTTTTACTTATTGAGATTCCTTTCCAGTTTTTCTTCCCAAAAGCCTCCCTTGGGAGCTTCTCAAAATCCACATGCTAAGGCCCCACCCAGACTCTGTCAGAATCTCCGAGGGGGACAGCCAGGCATGGGTATTTTTTCAGTCTTCTTTGGGTGATTTTGATGGCCTTGGTTGAGACCCACAGTCTTAAAAGACCTATGGAAATGGTACAGCCAAAAGGTTCAAGGCTTGGCAGGTTCCACCCTGTTGGTGGGGCCCTGGGGATTCTGCAGGGACGCCTCGCTGTCCAGTGGAGTAGGTCCTTACACGGAGGGTTTATTGTCATGGTTTTGCTGGGGCTTTGCTCAGTGGTAGAGCGCTTGCCTAGCATGCTCAAAGCCCCCGTTCCATCCCCAGCACCACACCCAAAAGAAGGATCTTTAATTGAGTCGGACCCAGTGACACATGCCTATAATCCCAGCTACTGGGAAGACTGAGGCAGGAGGATCACAAGTTTGAGGCCAGACTGGGCAACAAAGCAAGAGCCTGTCTTAAAATAAAAAATAAAAAGAGCTAGGAATATAGGTCAGTGGTAAAACGTCCCTGGGTTCAATCCCCTGTACCCCAAAAGAAAGGACCTTCAGTTGTCATGGTTATGACCCTCAGGGGAGATGTCAAAGGTCCATTGCATTTAACAATTTGTAGTTTTGTTAAGAACATGATTTTGAAGTCCCCAGCTCCAAGGCTGGACTTGCTTGGCTGGCTGAGCCCTGCAGGTCCCAGCAGCCCCCACAGCTGGTCAGCCTAAGGCCCCCACAAGCAGCACGCAGCAGCCCTGAGGAAGTGACGCAAAACCTGTTTCTTTCTGGGAACTGACCCAAAGACAGGGCCAGCTGCTTGTGAGAAACGCAGAGAAAGTGAAGGTTTTCAAGAGAGAATGGTTCCAAGCCAGAAAGTCCAAGTTGGGGTAAATCAAAGGAGGGCCGTTCTGTGTGGCCATGGCTTCTGTCTGCTGAGAGCAGAGGCATCTGTGAGCTTCATCCCTAGTGTGCGCCACGGGCTGCTAGGCTGTGGCTATCTGTTCTAGGTCCAGGCCCAGCCCTGGGTCTGGAGGACTTGACAACTCACTGGAAACGTCTCTGGGACGTCCCAGGGTGTCAGGAATGTATACTGAACATGGGGCAAGTTTACTCGCTTTCAGTTCCACCTCGTGATTGCTGCATTGCCCCAGGGCATCTTGGGAAAACATAAGAAGCTAGAAGTCGGCTGCTTCCTTGGCCATGATTGGGATAGATGGTGCAAAGGGGAAATATGTGGGTTTATGGGGGGTAGGGGTGCCAGGAATTTTTTTAAAATTCTCAATAATTAGTTTATTAAATAATGAAAGCATAATCATACTGAATTACAAATGAATATGAATTTTAATGTGTGTTCTCCATGTAGGTAGCCTGATACATTTCACACATATTATTCAATTTGCTTGGTACAGTAGTAACCCCATGTGGTAGCGTTTCTCATTTTAAAGAATAGGCTTACAAAAGTAGGTAGGCTTCTTAAAGTATTTAATCTAGAAAAAGACAGACACACACTGTGAATCCAGATCATCCAATTTCAGAGCTGCGGTTTCGGACCATTATGATTATGCACATCTGTTTTCTCTGCCAACAAAGACCAGTCTCCTTTTCTCCACTTCAAAAACTCATTCTTTTTTAAAAATTCTAATTTGTCACGTATGACAGCAGAATGCATTACAATTCCTATTACACACATAGAGCACAATTTTTCATATCTCTGGTTGTACCCCCAGGGATGTTTTTCTTTCTTTTTTGGGAGGGTGGGTACTGGGGATTGAACTCAGGGGCACTCAACCACTGAGTCACATCCCCAGCCCTGTTTTATATTTTATTTAGACACAGGGTCTCACTGAGTTGCTTAGCACCCTGCTTTTGCTAAGGCTGGCTTTGAACTCGCAATCCTCCTGCCTCAGCCTCCCAAACTGTTGGGATTACAGGTGTGTGTCACTGAGCCAGGCTCGGAATGTTTTTCTTAAAACACAAAATAGACAACAATACTGAGTCTCACCTAAAGAAATCCCCACAAAGCTGTGAATTTTAAACAGAAGTTTGTTGGTGAACAAAAGCTCAGTTTAGGGCCCAAAATTGTCCACATCAAATGGGAATTGCAGGCTGAGTTTTTCTGTTTGCCTTGAATTCAAGAGCTGCAGGGAGGAGGCCAGTACCTAGGGTGGGAAGGCCCTGCCTTTCTGACCCGTGGGGAGTCAGCTGGACCCTGAATCCTCTTTACATGGCTTTGTCTCTGGGAGGGCCAGAAGTGCTCTGAACTAAAAGAGAGGTGCTGCCCTTTCTGTCTGCAGGTATCGGGTGAACTTCAGACCCAGGTACGTCATCAGATACAAGACGGTGACCCAGTTGGAATGGAGATGCTGCCCTGGCTTTAGAGGAGCGAACTGCCAAGAAGGCCCCAAAGACCCTGCGAAGACCCCCCACCCCACGCCTGCTCGGCCTCGAAACAGCATAAAGAAAGCCACAGGTAATGTTTTATTGGTGCCTCACTCTGCGTGGCCACCTTCAACTTTCCCAGTACTGCTTCAGAGGGCGAGATTTGTCATCTGCGAGATTTGTCATCTGCGAGATTGAGAAATTTTTTATTTTGGTACTGGGGATGGAACCACTGAGCCACGTCCCCAGTCCTTCGAGACAGGGCCTCACTAAATTGCTTAGGCCTTGCTAACTTGCTGAGGCTGGCCTCAAACTTGCCATCCTCTGGCCTTAGCCTCCCAAGCTGCTGGGATTACAGGTGTGTACCACCACACCCAGCATGGCAGCAGTTTATTTGCAGGAGTGGAAAGCAATGGAGGACAAACCCTGTCGTGATTAAATTGCTTTGTTAGAGCCAACTCCTGGTGCAAGCCAGCACCTTAGAAACCCCAGGAGGTGGGGGTGTTAAATGCTGATGGGTTCAGACTGATGTAGCCTGGAACAGAGATGTGAAGAACATCACATGTAATGAGGCTCTGTTTTTACTTTCAGTTCTAAGACCCAGAAATCTGAGTTTAAAGGAGTCAAAATTGTCTTAAAAAAAAAAAAAGCAAATGGTTCTCCTTGTGTTTGAGATGAGATGTTTGCAAAGCTTAGTCCCAAGTTAGAATTTTCACCCGTGGATCTCGTCAGCTTTTGAAGTGTAACATTAAGGGAAAGATTCTTACGGGTAAAATTTTTCCCTTGCATTTTGCTCCTACATCAGCTCATCTTTCCTCCTCTAAAGATGAATCACAATAAACACAGCTTAGCCTTCCTTGGGAAATGAAATGTTTAAGTTATGTTTGATTTTTATCTTCCCATGAGGTCTTTGAAATCGATAGTGTTTCCCAACATTATCCATAAAATAGATTTAAAATAATCTTTTTATTAAAGTCATGCATACAATTAAAGAATGTTTATAAATCATAGGAACATGTTTTTTATTTAAAATAGTTAACTGTCAGGTTGAATGTACTCAGGCTGTACAAAGTAATGACTTTATTAGTATGCATATGATGTATAATGATTAACACAGTCAAATTAATTAACATATCCATCACCACCGAGGCTATATCTAGAATTTGTTCATCTTACAACTGGAAGTTTATATCCTTTGACCAACATCTCCCCGTTTCCCCCATTCACAAGCTTCTGATAGCCACTGTTCCTTGCTTTTATGAGTTTGATTCTCTTTAGATTCCATGTGTGAGATCATTTGTTATTTGCCTTTCTGTGTCTGGCTTATTTCACTTAACAGAACATCCTCCAGATTCATCCTTTGCTGTAAATGACAGGATTTTCCTTTTTAAGGCTGAATAGTATCATGCTGTATGTATAGACACACACACACACAAACACACACACACACACATACATACCCTACAATTTCTTTGTCCATTCATCCATTGAGAGACATTGAGGTTATTAATGTACCTTGGCTGTTGTGAATAATATTGCAATGAACATGGAGATACAGATATCTCTTCAAGATATTGATTTCATTTCTTGGGGTTTATATCCATAAGCAGGATTGCTGATTGTGTGATAATTGTACTTTAATTTTTTAAGAAATATTCATACTTTTTAAAAAAATGTTCTGTTCGGCTTACACTTTCCACCAAGGTCTGATTAGGTTGGATTTATTTATGTATTATTTATTTATTTTAGTTGTAGATGGACACAATAACTTTGTTTTATTTATTTTTATGTGGTGCTGAGGATTGAACCTAGTGCCTCACACAAGCCAGGCAGGCGCTCCACTACTGAGCCCTAGCCCCAGCCCCACTTTTTATTTATTTTTTTAATACTGGGACTTGAATCCTGGGGTGCTCTACCATTGAGCCTCATCCCCAGCCACATTTTTATTTTTTTATTTATTTAAATATTTATTCTTTTGTTTTAGGTGGATACAATATCTTTATTCATCTTTATGTGGTGCTGAGGATCGAACCCAGTGCCTCGTGCATGCCAGGCCAGCGCACTACCACTTGAGCCACATCCCCAGCCCCCACATTTTTATTTTTTATTTTGTGACAGGGTCTCACGAAGCTGCTTAGGGCCTTGTTAAATTGCTGAGGCTAGCCTCAAACTTGCCATCCTCCTGTGCTACCTCCATACTTTTTTCCATAGTGGCTATACCCACTGCCTTTCTTCATACCCTCACCAGCACTTATCTCTTATCTCTTTGATAGAAGCCACTGTTTTAGGTTGGTCTAAACAAACATCAGAGATTGGAAAATTTAGAAAGAAGAGAAATTTATTTCTCATGCTTGTAAAGGCTGGGAAGTCCAAGATCAATGACCAGCATCTGCCCATAAAAAAAAAAAAAAAAAAAAAAAAAGCCCTCATCATAATATGGCAGAAGGGCAGGTAAGCATAAGGAAGACAGAAAAATCAGGTTCCGTTCATATTTTTATCAGAAACTCACTCACTCCTGCAGTAACAGCTATTATCCATTCACAGGGGTAGAGTCCTCAAGACCTGATCACCTCTTGTCAGTTACATTTCAACCTGAGATCAGGGGGCACTCAAACAGGGACAGCCTTCCTGACGTCTAGTCTTCCCTATGTCTGCAGACGTCTGACAGGCTCTATCCTAGGCCCTTGGAATAAGTAAAAAGCAAGGCAGACAGGGTTCCTGACCCCAGGGAAGATAAACATTAGACTGTGATCACAGTAAATCCTGTCATTTGCACTCGTGGGAAACCTGAGGTAGGGGCTGCTGGGTCCTAGTAGTTTATCTTTGTTTTGTTTAGTTTCGGCTTTTATTTTATCAAAGCTTTAATATATATATATATATATATATAGTTTTACAAGTTGAATAGCTTTACAAAGACAAATGGGAAGAAGAGGGAACCCCTCTTCTCTCTCACTTCCCCTTCCCAGAGGCTATTACTTTAAACTCCACCCCCCCCAACACCCCCCCCCCCCCCCCCCCGCCCCGTGCTGCGGATGGAACCCAGAGCCTCTTGCGTGCTAGGAGAGCACTGTCCCACTGAGCCACACCCCAGCCTGCTCTAAGCTCTTCAGATAAATCTCTTGAAATTTACCTCCATATCTATTGACTTCTTTTTGTGGAAATTGAGGATTTAACAATCTTTCATCTATTCCCCAAACCCCTACTTTCCATACAGAAAAAAACACCATATTTTTAACTAACGCCAATATTCAGTGTTTATACTGTATTGTCAATTATATGGCTCATGTTTACAGCTAAGCCCTGTGGTATATTATGAATGGGTCTTTCCTACACAGAATTCTGATTTTCTATAGTTAATAATTGTCTTACATTTTTCCTTTGCTTGGTTGTGTGTGGTGTGTGTGTGTGTTTGTGCACGCTGGTGTGCGTTTCCTATTTCAACCCAAATCCTTGTCTGGTTATTTGAATGTCCCTTCATTATGTTCAGACACAGCAGCTTCATTTTCTCGAAGAAACATCTCCAGGAGCTTCCTCATACCTCCCATCTGGACTGTCATCCTCTTTCCCCGTCACCCTGGGGTCTTAACCTGCCTCTTTTCAATTCCCCATTTTCTTTTGTATCTCCCTGCTCACTCTCTTATTTTACTCCTTTGTTTTGCTTGAGCACATCCTATAGTAGTTTTTTTCAGTTGTTGTGGTGCTAAGGATAGAACATGCTAGGCAAGTGCCCTTCCCCTGAGCTACATCCCTAGCCCATTCTAGTAGTTTCATGAGAAGATTGTGTAGGAGGTAAACTTTTTTGATACTTCATACTATAAAAATATTTTTACTCTAGTTTCAGAATTCTGCTTGGAAATATTTTTCCTTTAGAATTTTAAAAACATTGCTCATTTTCCATCTAGCTCCCAATACTGCTATTAAGAAGTTCTTAGCCATTCTGATTCCAATTCTTAATATATAAGTTGGATGGGGTTTTTGGTCCCCTCCCTTTTTCATTGTCATTTTAGTGGGATTTTAGGAGGAAGTAAAAGGAAATGCTTATTCTTGATCCAGCAACTGAGTTTTTACTTGTCAATCAATAATAACCTTTCATGCCATTAAATATCCTACAATATCATTTTTAAAGTATTTTTATTAGTTGTTGATGGACTTTTATTTTACTTATTTATATGTGGTGTGACATTCGAACCCAATGCTTCACACTTGCTAGGCAAGTGCTCTACCACTGAGCCACAACCCCAGTCCTCTACAATATCACTTAATAGCTTCAAAGAATATGATTGTTTGAACATAGTCTTGATACAATATTGTATATTGTATTTGAATAAGTGTCTTTCTCTGTTAAATTTTGTTTTGTCATTGACTATTTTCTGGAATACATTTCTAGAAATGTAATTGCAGGGTCAAAAGGATCTGAGTATTTTAATACATAGTACTGTAATATCCTTTAAAGATATTTATAGCAATTTACACAATCACCAGTGGTAGAGGAGATAAATATTTCAGCTTTTTTTTTTTTTGTGTGTGTGTGTGTGTGTGCTGTTGTGACTAAAAGACCTGACAAGAATGAATTTAGAAGGGGAAAAGTTTAATTTGGGGCTCAGAGTTTTAGACGTCGCAGTCCGTAGACACCAGGCTCCATTCCTTGGGGCTTGAGGTGAGGCAGAACATCATGGCAACAGAGTGTGGCAGAGGGAAGCAGCTCACAGGATGGTCAGGAAGCAGAAAGGCCCCACATGCCGAACACAAAATATATACCACAAAGGCATGTGCCCCACCTCCTCCAGCCACACCCTCCCACCTCCAGTAACCACTCAGTTAATCCCACCAGGGGATTAATTCACTGTTTGGGGTACAGCTCTCATAACCCAATCATTTCATCTCTAAATGTTCTTGCATTGTCTCACATACATGTGAGCTTTGGGGGGATACTTAAGTTAATATCAACCCCATTGCACCCAGAATAGCATTTCACTTATATATGACTTGATAACTTATGTTTTCCTTCTAGGGTCCCGAGATATAGTGTAAACTTTCAGTATGGCAAATAAGTGTTCTTTATTATTCTGTGCCAGGTACCAGATGCGCTTGGGAGTTGGGGCATCTGAATTGCAGCACTGGTTTACAACTAAGTTATTTGTTAGAATTAATTTTAACAAAAATAGCTGCTGCTCTCATCTCATGTGGAAGTTTAGGGGCGGAAGAAACAAATATCTGCAGCTTTCTCAATTTGCTTGTTTTCAGTGTAGTACGTTGGTTGCTGTGTTCAATTCCCTTGTAACGTGTCTGACCTCTTCTACTTACTTTCCATGGTCTCCTCCCTGTGGGCTCCAGGTGGACAGTGTTGGTCCCCTTCCGGGAGCCCTTTCTAGGGCATGGCTCCTGTCTTATTCTCTTGCTGCAGGTTTTTTTTTTTTTAATTTCTGATTTTTTAGTTGCAGATGGACACAATGCCTTTATTTATTTTTATGTGGTGCTGAGGATTGAACCCAGTACCTCTAGGTACTAGGCAAGCACTCTGCCACTGAGCTACAACCCCAGCCCCTTGATAGCCTCTTTTTAATATTAGATTACTTATCTCTGTGAACACACTGTTGAATTTATTTCCATTTTATGACTCATCGCTATCATTATCATTTTTTTTAATTTGGACTGTCTCCTTGGGAGATATTTTATTAAAATAGGACTACCAAATATTGAATGTCTGTGATCTTTGACCTAAGGCATCTTACTATATATGGCTAGATGGCTTATTATTAGGAGACACCAGTGTAGTAGTTGCTATATCTGTCCTTTGATTTTAGTTTTGTTGACCTCTTCATAGGACCAAGGGATATCTATAAGATTCTTAGCATAGGGATGCTAATAAAAGTTTTTTGTTTTTTTTTTAAAAGAGAGTGAGAGAGGAGAGAGAGAGAATTTTAATATTTATTTTTTAGTTATCGGCCGGATACAACATCTTTGTTTTGTATGGGGTGCTGAGGATCGAACCCGGGCCGCACGCACGCCAGGCGAGCGCGCTACCGCTTGAGCCATATCCCCAGCCCCAAAAGTTAAAAGAACATTCAGGAGTGGTTTTGAGGATAACCTCAAATGATCTGATATTTTATATTATCATACCTTCCAACTGCTAATGGGGGGCTTCCTATGGCTTTACGGTGTGCAGTCAATGACTGGGTGTGGCCACATTTCACTAATGTGGCAACAGTGTGTTCACATGACAAAGTAGTTATTTCCCTTCAGGGTGAAAGAGACCATGGATGGCCTGTATATGATATGTGCATTTTCTCTTAACAATCCTAGTAGACCCTATTCCTCCTCTTTATAGATGAAGGGATTATAGTTCAGAGAAGTTAATTAACTCATTTGAGTACAAACAGTAAATAGCAGAGCCAGAGGTACATAGAGGTTTGTTTGACTCCAAAGCCCATCCTGTGTTCCACTCCACCACAATAATTATCTAAGTTAGATAGAGGGCTTGTAAGGGAAGATTTAAGCATGTCCTCTAGGTACCCCCGTTTATTGTCTTCGCAGCAGATGTTAACTGAGGTCCAACCTTTTCTTTATAATAGATAACGAACCAAGCCAAGTCTCAGACCCCACGGACATTGCACCACCAACTCGTGCAGGAGAACCGAGTCAGAAGGTGGATCCCAAACAGGGGCCTGAAGAACTTCAGGATAAGAAAATCCAGATGCTTGAGGAGAAGGTTCTCCGACTCACAAGGACAGTTCTCGACCTTCAGTCTTCCATTTCAGACCTGAACGAAAATCTCAAACATGCTACTCAGGATGATGCCAGCAAACCGACCTCATGGCTGGGCGACCCGCATCCCCAGCCGGGGCCTGGCAGTGAGATTGCCAGAGACACGGAAAGAGCCCAGCCTCCCGGAGTCCTCAGTAGTAAGGAATCTGGTATGAAGGACATTAAGTCTGAATTGGCCGAAGTCAAAGATACTCTGAAGACCAAGAGTGACAAGCTGGAGGAGCTGGATGGGAAGGTGAAGGGTTACGAAGGGCAGCTCAAACAGCTGCAGGAGGCTGCCCAGGGCCCCACGGTGACCATGACCACCAGTGAGCTCTACCAAGCCTACGTGGACAGTAAGATGGATGCTCTGAGAGAGGAGCTCATGGAGGGGATGGACAGGAAGCTGGCCGACCTGAAGAACACATGTGAGTACAAGCTGGTTGGCCTGCAGCAGCAGTGTGATGACTATGGCAGCAGCTACCTGGGGGTGATAGAGCTGATCGGGGAGAAGGAGGCGAGCCTGAAAAAAGACATCAACGACCTTCGAGCCCGGCTGCAGGATCCTCCAGCCCAGCCGAGTTGCTGCAGCAGGGGAAAGGGTGGCGACTTCGGTGAGCAGCTCAAGACGTTAGAGCAGAAAATCGAGAGAGTGGCGGAAGCCACCAGAATGCTGAATGGTCGGATGGACAACGAGTTTGACCGCCTCATGGTTCCGGAACCAGATGTGGACTTTGATGCCAGATGGAATGAACTAGATGCAAGGATCAACGTGACGGAGAAGAACGCGGAAGAACATTGCTTTTACATTGAGGAAACCCTCCGGGGGATCATCTCTGGGGAGGTCGATGACTTGAGGCAACTTCTGGATCAGAAAATACACTCTCTGGAAGACCGTCTGGGGAGCGTCCTCCTACAAGTGGCCAATGACACTGGTGGTGAATTTGGTCCCCCAGGGGCAGCCCTGCCTGGGCTGTCTGGATCAGGCAATGAACAGGTCATGATAGAATTAAACCACCTGCGGGACAAAGTTCAAATGGTTGAGGACATTTTCCTGCAGAACTTCCAGGGAGGACATCTTGGGTTGGAAGGTACTGTACCAAACAGAGAGGACCACCTAGCGGGTGATAGCCTGAGCCTTTTGAAATCTCTCAATGACACGATGTATAGGAAGTTTCAAGAAACCGAGCGTAACATCCAGAAGCTTCGAGAAGATTTTAGTCGTCTTTATTCTCAACTAAACCACACAGGTAATGATGTGACTCATCTTCAGAAGGAAGTGAGCAATTGTAAAGCAGGTAAAAATGCTGCAGCAGGTGGTTTTACTAAGGTGGGTGAGCAAGAAAGGATGGTGGAGACCCTCCCGTCTCCCCAGGACCCTGTGGCTCAGTGTTGCGGTCAGCTGGAGGAGAGGTGGCAGAGGCTCCAGAGCCAGGTCCTGTCTGAGCTGGACACTTGTAAGGAAAATATTCATGGGGTCCAGAGGGGGGTCTCTGTGGTTGAGGACAGGGTGTCGCATATGGAGAAAACGTGCAGCAAGCTGGACTCCATGTCGGGGAGTCTGCAGAAGATCAAAGAGGGGCTCAACAGGCACGTCAGCAGCCTGTGGAACTGTGTCAGGCAGATGAACGGGACACTCAGGTCGCATTCCAGAGACATTTCCGGCCTCAAGAGTTCCGTCCAGCAGTTCTATAGCCACGTTTTCCAGATTTCTACTGACTTGCAAGATCTGATCAAATTCCAGCCATCGGCAAGTAAGTTGAACTTGACCGTTCCGTTTCTTGTGTGCATTTGTGGTGCCTCTTGGATGGTTTGTGGAGTTAATCCCAAGTGTGGCTCCGGGTTTAGTGCCAGTTCATGAATGGTTTGGTGTTCAGTAGCAATGAGATAAAGGCCGGCATTAAGAGTGTGTATTTAAAGCTTTCAAACGAATTTGATGTCATGGTGGCATTCAAACACAAAATCCACATATCTTACAAGATCACCAAATTGGAAGTTAAAAAGGAAAACTGGCCCTTCGCTACAGATAGATGGCCAAGTATCGATGACACTACATGCCGGGGCACTACGATTTGGGGTCAGATTTTTGGCACAACAACTTGGATAGGGGGTATTGCTGTTCCCATCTCTACCTGGGGAGTCCCCTAGATGCTGACCTGGTCACCTCTCTCCAAGCTTCACCTATTTATGTCATCAAAAGCTTTATCATCATTGTCTTTGGGTTGCTACCCTCTCCCTAGAATCTAGGGCTTAGATCATGGTGGATAGGATGCTGTGGATAGGATGCTGTCATATTTATTTCCAAAGACCTGGGCAGGACCCTGGGTAAAAGCAGTTTAGGGGCAGTCACTGTCCAAAGTCCCGTGGTGCTGTGATCTGGAAGTGCATTAGAAGAGGTAAGAGGACTGCTTGTAGCACCTTAAACTTTCAACACATATTTGTTGAATGAATGAATAGTCTCTTGATAGTTTTGAGTAATACATTCCATTGTTTGTTATTCGTGGCTAAACACATAATCCCTGAAGGACAGAGCTTCTCTTATATCTAAATTCTATTTTTTTTCCCACTTTAAAAAATTCTAAATTTATTTGTAACCGATAACATAAAAACTATCCCTATTGGGGCTGGGGTTGTGGCTCAGCAGTAGCGTGCGCGCCTAGCACATGCGAGGCCCTGGGTTCGATCCTAAGCACCACATAAAAATAAATAAATAAAGGTATTGTGTCCAACTAAAAAATAAATATTAAAAAAAGCCTATCCCTATTAATAGAATATACCTGAATTCCCCTCCCCCTCCCCCTACTTCTCCTTCTCCTTCTTCCAGGGATTGAACCCAGGGCACTCAACTACTGAGCCACATCCTCAGCCCTTTTTATTTATTTATTTTGAAATTTTTTTTACATTTTATTTTTTAGTTGTAGTTGGACACCTTTATTTTATTTTATTTATTTTTATGTGGTGCTGAGAATCAAACCCAGGGCCTCGCACGTGCTGGGTGAGCGCTCTACCCCTGAGCCACAACCCCAGCCACCAGCCCTTTTTTGTATTTTATTTAGAGATAGGGTCTCACTATGCTGCTTAGCACCTTTCTGTTGCTGAGGCTGGCTTTGAACTCATGATTCTCCTGCCTCAGCCTTCCGAGCCTCTGGGATTACAGGCATGTACCACCGCTCCCGGCTGGATTCTTATCTTTAGATAGCCTCAATAATAAGCTAGCCTTTTCTAACTGGATGCAGGAGGTGAAAGGGAGCAAGAAGAGAGTTCAATTTATTTAGCACCTTATTCAATTTATTGAGCACCTTCTGTGTACCAGCGCTGGGCTAGTCCCTTCAGGGCATAGCTGATGAGCCCTGTGACAGCCTCACAGAGAAGGTGCATCCTTTTCTAGAGGGAAATATGTGCAAAGCCACACAGCTGGTGACAGGTAGAACTTGGGCTATATATAAATCCTTTGTGTTTCCCAGAGTTGAATGAAGAGTATTTGGCCCTTGGGACTTGCAGAGGGTCAGCGGTGTGCCCAGAAGGAAACTATTTCCTGACATCCCTGTCTTTATTTTCTCCTCCCCACCTCCCGCAGGTCTGTCACCTTTTCCTTCTGTTCACTCTGGGCCTATAAATACTGACTGAGATTTCATGGGCTCTGTGAGCCTGTGGAATTTTAAGATTAGGTCCCAGCTAAGACATAAAGCCGGGCTGGGCATGGTGGTACACACCTGTAATCCCTGTGCTTGGGAGGCTGAGACAGGAGGATCACAAGTTCAAAGCCAGCCTCAACAACTTAGTGAGGCCTTAAGCAACTTAATGAAACCCTGTCTCAAAGTAAAATGTAAAAAAATTGCTGAGAATGTGGCTTAGTGGTTAAACACCCCTGGGTTCAATCCCCGGTACCACCAAAAAAATAAATAAATAAATTTTTAAAAAAGATGGAAAGCTAGAACATGGGAGGTGGACAAGCCCTTCCCCACCTGGGGAGAGCCTCAGGAGGAGTGGGAAGGGGTCCATGTAGTCAGGAGGGAAAATGCTCTGGACGGTGACCTCAGAGCAGGGTGCTTATTTTGCAGATAAGGAGTTACCCAGTTTGAACAGGACCAGGCATCTGGCCTCCTCCCCGTGCCCGGCCCTCTGCACTGTATATGACTGGCTCCTTCCTCCCTGGGCCCACTCAGCTCCTATATCTCTGGAATGTTGAGTAGAGGTCACAAGACCTGTGTGTGTTCACAGAGTGATTGTCCTTTGTGGTGACAATGCTGTCTGGACTGTGCTTTATAATAACAGACTGGGCCAGATATTTCCAGTTGGTTTGTAGAGCCCTGGCTGCGTGGGAAGCTGTATTTGCTGTTTGACATTTGTCTGGGCAGTAGGAGCTGCAAGGGATGCCTTTGGACAGAATGTGGCTTCTCAAACACGGTCTTTGGGGCTGGACCCATTGTGAATGTGGACGGCATGGGCTTTTGAGAATTTCCATGACTGAAAAGAGCCAGAAATAAACAGAGCCTCATGCAAGCTTGTAGCACACCCAGGCTGAGGAGACCTAGAACCTGGACATCAAAGCTCCACAGGTGACCCTGGGGCTAAGGTCCCAGAGAAAGTCACATGTCTGTCAGTTGAGCGCTGACTGTGTACAAAGCTCTGTGAGGGATATAGAGATGAGCTGGCATGATCCTCACTAGCACAGCGGGAAAGAGGCACACAGGCCTGCAGAGAATGAATGCGGTCATTTGTAAAAAGCATGATGACGCCTGTAATCTCAGCAGCCTGTAATCTCAGCAACTTGGGAGGCTTGCAAGTTTGAGGCCAGCTTCAGCAACTTAGCGAGGCCCTCAGCAACTTGGACCCTATCTTAAAAAAGAAAAAAAAAAGGGTGGTGTGTGTGCACAAATAGTGTAGGGCTTGTTCTTTCAGTACGTAACCCCTTATTGAGCCCCTGGGACGTAGGTAATGGTTGTGTGTGGCACATGTGGATAAAAATGACAGTCTGGTACAGAAGCAAGCAAATCCATACCCCATTCCCATGACGGTCATGGGACTGGGGTATGGATGAGCCTCAGGGGGGCAGGTGGAGTGCCCACAGCTGCTGTGGAAGTCTGGGAGGGCATCTCCAAGGACGGGGCCCCTGAGTTGAGCCTATAAGATTGAGTAGGTATTTACTCAAAGGGCTGGGATGGGGAAGAGGCAAGGTGAGGTGATGTGACTGGATCAGTTATTTATTGCTGGGTGACCACCTCCCCAAATCTTGGTGGCTTGAAACACGGGGAGGTGTCATTTTCTGTTGTGTACAGGGACAGGTAACTTGGGCAGGGCTGAGCGGGGTGGCTCTTCTGCTCTGTGTGGCATCAGCTCGAGCCGCCCACTCAGCCTCCCTTGGCTGGCGGTTGGCTGGAAGATCCAGGCTGACTCAGTGGCCCAGATGGTACCTCTGGGATCCTCCACGTCGCCCCTCTCTCCCACGTGGCTAGGTTGGGCTTCCTCACGACATGGTTCCTAAGTAGTCAGACCTACTGTGTGGCAGAAGACTCCTAAAGAGAAAGGGGCCGCTGCTGGCCTCCTACAGGTGGGGCCCAAGAGCTAGCACGGAATCACTTCTGCCACATTCATTCTGTTGGTCACAGCAAGCTGGCTCTTGAAGGTGACAGGGCTGACGTGCCAGGTGGGAAGGGTAGTCATGGTGGTTATCATGCCTGCCTCAGTGGGTGCAGGACCAAAGGTGAGATGATGGGCTTAGGTTTGGACCCCTAACCAGATTCTGGGCCACATACACACACTCTGGTGCTTCTTCTCAGTCCATTGGCTCTTGACATATCCTGTTCTTTGGCAGCATCCCTGATGGGGCTCAGTTACCCAGGAGACAGCTGATGCTCAAATAGATGCAAGGATTTTTTTTTTTTTGGTACCAGGGATTAAACTCATGAACACCCCACCATTGAGCCACATCCCTATCCCTTTTTTGTATTTTATTTAGAGACAGGGTCTCACCGAGTTGCTTAGGGCCTTACTAAATTGCTGAAGCTGGCTTTGAACTCACAATCCTCCTGCCTTAGCCTCCCGAGCTGCTGGGATTATAGATGTGCCTCACCACTCCCGGCTCAAGTCTCCCGCCCCCATCAGTTCTTGACCTGTTATGCAGACACTTGGCTATTTTTTTAGCTAGAGGGATGTGGCTTTCACCTAGCACTCTGAAGGGCACCTGGTTTAGGAGAGATGAAGAACCACTGTGTCCCATCGTCACCGTCTCACCCTCAGCTCTCTTCACTCTACACCCCAGTCCCTTCATTCACTCAATCATCAGGTTTCTCCTGAGCCACGTCCCGGCGTCTCGGCCCTCGTGATCATGCGCTCTAACAGAAAGATGGGCAGTGAGCAGCCGCGAAAATATTGGATTTCAGGTATTGATCAATCAATGCCGTGAGGAATGATGAATCAGAAGGCGATGGAGGATGGGGGCAGGAATCTATTTTGGATGAATGGTCAGGGAAGGCTTCTCTGTGGAGATGACCTTTGAGTTGAGACATAAATATAAAGAGGGAGCAAACCCGACAGAGATGTCTGTGAGAATATGGTCCAGGCAGAGCTGGGCATGGTACACACATCTGTAATCCCAGTGACTCAGGAGGCTGAGGCAGGAGGATCTCATGTTAGAGTCCAGGCTGGGCAACGTAGGGAGGCCCTATCTAAAACAAGTTGTCAAGGTATGTGTGGGGGTGCTGGGATGTAGCTTGATAGGGGAGTGCCCCTGGGTTCAACCCCTGGGTACCAA